TCTACCAGCTGAGCTACGAGGCCACATCAATAGCACTGATTATTTCACATTCGAATTTACCCATCCAACTTACAGAGGCATGTGACATCCACCAGTAAATTCGAATGTGAAAAGATCAGTGTTATCGGTGTGGCCTCGTAGCTCAGCTGGTAGAGCATGCGCGTACAAAGCGTAGGCAGCGTCCAGGCGTGGGTTCGAATCCCACTGAGGCTACTGAACTTTTCACAATCGACATACAAACTTCAAATCTGCCAAACAACTATTTGAACAATACAGTATTTGACAAAGTGATAAACAGATAATTAAGTGGCTAGGTAGGTGAGGATACCACCGCTGTTATGAGCATTACACTGCAAGTATTCACACTATTGAAGTAAACCGAAAGATAGGTTGGATATCTTTGATGGTCCCGTCATAAAGCAACTCAAGCATGTATCCAAAATACCTCCTGCAATGCTCGAATAGCCATTTTGTCGACGCAAATGTAGGTTGGGAAACGCTGGCGTTCTCTGGTTATGCCGACACTTTATTCAAGACGACCGCAAGACGAGATGTAGCAGACCGAATACCTCACCCAGACAGGGCGAAGTTGGTGGACGGTTTGGTCATCTGCGATGCACTTCGAATGCGTAAAATGCACGCAGCATATAGCCACACTGAAGCTTAATGCATCTATAAAAGTTTGAAATTTGTCTGGTCCTTTATTTAACAGCGGAAGTTTGAATGCGCATATCAGATAAGATAATCTGCAACGATGCTCATAGAAAACATTACCCTTCTTTTGGTTTATAATAGAAGCCTAACTCTCACTCGTGGCTACACAAAGTGGGTTGTATGTGCCAAAGGCCTATGTGCTGTCAGACTCCTCAATTAACTCCATTCTTGGTGTCCTTCTACCCACTAACTGTTTCGCTGACGAAACCTACGTGCTGACATGCATTGCACACGCTACAGTCATCGAAATCTATGGATATCAAACCTTATGTGTCAGGTTTGTAGCAGTCCACAAGCAGTGCTCCAGCTACGTTAGCAAGTTGAATCCACGAACCATTGCCTTGTGGAACAAACCCCAAGAGTTGAAGGCTCCGATTAGGATTCCTACAGAGTACATACATGAATATGTGCAAAGACTGTCCATATTGGTTACGGTGCACTGCACGCGTTATTCCTCACGTAAGAAATAATTCCGTGGCCTCTAGATTGCAATGATCGCGGGATGAATTACGGACCATGAACACCTAAACCGAAATGACAGACACCGGTCCCCTAATGAACCGCTCACATCACACCAACCCGAGGAAGCGTTCGGTTGTGGATCTCCAAGAAATTTACGAGCTTGGGTTGGTTAACATGAAATTGCTTATCATTTTTTGATGCAGTTTGGACTCTAACAAGTGTGGAATATAATAACAATCAGTTTTTCATATCACATAAATGAAAATAGCTCATGGAGTAGGTAACCTTAATGATTGAAGGTAAGGAGCATGGGAGGGGCCTCATACCCACATTTTACACGCAAAAACATAGACAGTTAGACAGAGAGAAACATGCAGTGTGTTGAGGTGAGGGGAGTAGGAACTGGCAATCAGTATGACCGGTTGCGTGTGAATAGTACTTTGGACTGAAAATGTGCCTGACAGGTATTTATATACTGCAGATGAATGGATTTTTTTCATAAATATAAGTCATACCTAGAAAAAACTTCCATGAGTAAATCTTTTTTCCAAAAATGATGTTCAGCATTATTCAGAACGGAAAAAGATTGTTCGTGAGAAACAACAAGTAATAAAAAAACTCACATTTTGTCGTTTGTGTAACTCGCTGATTGTTTTCTTGTACTGTGCTTCTAGATCCGCTTGTTTACGCTTCTCTTCCAGTTTCAAATTGTCCAGAATCTGACGCTCATCTTGTACGGGATTGAACGACACCGCAAGCTCGGGCGTCTCTCCACTGCGCTCTGTACTCGAAGCGCCCGAGGAACCAGACGCATTGTTTGTGACTGAATCTGAGGAACCCAGAGAAACGGGACCCGAACTGAGCTCTAGTGACCGCCTATAGGCTTTGATGCGTTCTTCGCGTAACAGTTTGAACTGCTTTTTCTGAATCCGAGCAGCATCGCGGAATTGTTTCCGAATTTGCATTTCACGTTGCTAACGTGTACGAAGGGAAGACAAGAAAGATTCACCCGAGTTCATTTGTTTTGTTACCGGTTGTGCACAAGACGAAATTTAAGGTAAACATCCCAAAAAGATGTGTCCAGCATTGACAAGCGTCACAAAAAAAAGTAAACCAATGAGAAATGGGTCTACCAATAAAGTAGAAAAACAGTGGGAAAACAAATGACACATACGACTGACCTAGTATTTAGCTAGACGTGAAAAAACAAGCACTTTAACAATGGAATGCGCATACAACTATATCTACGAGCGACGCATTTACTGTTATTGTATGCTTCCAGGTCAGCTAACAACATGTGAATATTCATCGTGTATCATAAAAGAATCTAAAGGTAAAATGTAACTTCATTTGAGGACATCAGCACCGTACGGTTTGGAGCGACAGATAAACTCTGCATGTATCGACGACAGCTTCCATTGAACAAAGGTTATCACTGTCAGTCGGACGAATTATGTAAACTGAAAGACACTATGGCCAATTGGGATTACGTGATATGAGGGTGCGGAATAAAGCACACCAACATACGGCAAACAAATATTTTACAGATAGTTGGTTAACAACCGATGATTGATAACTAACCATAAACAGCATGATGAAATTCGCGAGACCGTATTTGTACTATTCTAAATGAAGCTATTATTGCAAGCCTAGCTGAAGCTTCGATTTTCCACACAATGTTCACATAGTTCATGTAAAAACAACACATGTAGTGAAGGGAGTCTAATCATCTTGTCAGGTGATTCGGGAGGGGGAAACAGATGTCACAAGACTTGAAGGTAGTACAATAATCTGATCGTTGTGTTGTCGTGATTCACTGAGACGCAGTAAAATAGTTCGCCTACATCATGTGAACTGCACCAAGAATTCACAACTCCATAGATCAAAACAACCGAAAATTAGACTCCATTGTCAGCATATCACTAAGTAAGTTCGACTGGAGTAGAACTACTAGCTAACTTTGACAACCAAGGTGGACAATACGGAAGATCAAACATTGAACAGCAGTAACCTGTTACAATTACGGAGGAACGTAGATGGAACAAAAGTGGTCTAAATACCATACAAAGAAAATGCTCCAATAACCCAACGAGTGAGTGTATATGAAAATTACCATTTATTCTGCCAAATTGAAACCGGCAATATGGAAACGTCGTACATAACATAAGAAATTCCGGAGAATGCAAGAAAAAGTGAATGGAGTAGTAGGTTTTTGCGTTTCCGTTGGTTGTGAATTGATCTTTAGGGGAGGCGGAAGGGTTACGGACCTTGAAAAAGTGAGCACAATATTCGAATCCCCGGGTTCCGTTTTGAGTTGTATTGCTCAATCAATCAAAGACAATCCCAAGATAGCCCCATCGAAAAGCATTGAGACTCTGGGAATATAGAAATTCAAATCCCCGAAACGTTGAGTGGAAAACTTGATATGAAATGTGATGGTTCCGAGTGAGAACTGTCCTTCACTTTCCCTGTAAAACGACTATACTCCGCAAGGCGACAAGTCAGCTACATGAACTAAAGCGATTCACGGATATTCTGGGCACTAGGGTTACAGGCAGCGCCTTCAGCAATGTCTTATTTGAGGTCGTACCCTCGGACGGTGCACATTGAAGTGCAATCCAGTTCAGTTCTTACAACCATTAACCATGCATTTTCGTACGCCGGTTTTGGTTGCTCATTTGGAAGAAATAGCAGAATGATTATTAGAATGTTGAGAGCAGATTTAAGCGGAAGGTAGCACATTTTCATAGACTGAAGTTACAAGAATAATGAATAGATGCATAAGCGCCACTGTTTGCGACACCCAGTCATACCGCTCAGTGTCTCTAACCACCGGTGACCATGATCTCTGGATCCCCAGCCAGGGAGCTTAACGGGACCTGTGTGGGAAGCAAAGACAATCTCAACAAAAAGCCTTGTCTAGTAGGTGGAATGGGGCTAGGGGTGAAGGCCTTACTATTGATGCTAAATCATCGTAGTCGAACTCTTGTGGCGCTTCGTGGGGAGGAAGCTTGACTAGGAAAAACACCACGGTTTTGGACACTGTCGTTGTTCATTCACGACCACCTGGCTAATGAGCCTAACCTGGCCTTATGCATGATGGCTGTTCTCTTATCCGCGAAGTAAGTAGGCGCCAATTGGCACAGTTCTGCCTCCGAGTGATTTCACCGCTGTCTGCTAAATAGTCAAAAGCCAGTGAACGTAACATATCCCCACATGAAGTGCATCGTTGGTTACACAATTCCAATGCATACTATGGCGTTAAATACACGTCCAAGTAAGAAAACTTGAATAAGTATAAGGATAGAACTCGCACAAACCTTAAGATGCTTTGGCAAATTCTTCGATTCCAGTACATGTTTCTTGAGCAGATCTGCCTTAGTACGCTCGATGTACTGGTGGTGATTATTCATCTCTGCTTCATGCTGTTTTTGTAATTGGTTCAAACGCAGTTCACGAACTTGCTTCTGTTGGGTAAGCTCTAGCTCTTCCAATTTTGTATGTTGATCAAGTAGGAGCGCGGTCATTTCGTCGTTGGCTTTCTGCTCCAGTGTTATGTACTGGGTCAGTTGGTGATGCTGAACAAAGGTGAGGAAAAAAGCATAGATAGGTTTTTCTAACAGGGGTAATATAATATACTACTGACCACATTTTAACAGAAATATGTACTGATAAACATGAGATACTGGGGCACCCGTAAATATTATACTATTTGCGGATGAGTTTGCTGCTAGTATTAACTGCAAATTTTGTAGGCATCCAATTCGATCCAATTTCGGTAATCTACACAGTTTCCAGGAGGCTTTCTCGGGTCTAAATTAGTCGAGCTGTATTCTCATCGATGAGATAACCGTTGAAAAGGAGCTGAACTTTGGCAGCAATTTTTTGCATCAAGTCCTATCGATGATCGCACGATGGTTCGGACAGAAACTTCGTGGGATCACCCATTTAGAATACGAACTCTGAAAAAGAATCGCTAGTCCCGATTACAAAAATATCTTTTCCAGATTAAAAACCAGTGTGCATATAGAGCAACGGAATACGTGCAAAAGCCACTGCTCACTTTTCCAGACTTCTACAATAACACATTATAGAATTTATCTCCAGATGACCTATTCACTCCGTGTCGAACAAAAGAAGCAACTATGATTTATGACTTTGCATTTCACAATCAGCACAAGTCTCGGACAAAAACTTCCAATGCCAGTACTCGAAACACGATAAAATCTCGAAAACATGGTTCAGTGAGCCGGTGATCAAGCGATGTAGGTCAATGTAGGCTCCGAGGTCATGAATTTAAACCTCAACCATGACCGACACGTTTTTTTATCTTGTCTGTCAACGATCAAATATTTATTATGGGAATAACTTACAAGCTCATGCTTTTCTGGTCCCATAGGTTCGT